TTGTAGAGGGAGAGTAGTTTATATGTACTAAAGTGTCTAACTTTACAGCTGCTGCCTCCTTCCAGTACATGCTGTTAATGCCATTGCCTTAGAAAAGACTAGAGAAAAATCCCAAGTATTGGTCTTGCATCATGGGAGTTGATCGTTCTTCCCATTTCAGACTCTCTTTTTTTAAGACATGCTAAGATGTAGCAGTGACAACAGGGGACATAAATGGTTGCTAACTTATGTAGCCATTTTGCACACAAATGAATAATGTAAATCTGTAAAGCAGCTGGGCTCTTTTATGCTCAGTCAGAATTGTGTATCTTGGTCTTGTGGCTAAGTGTTGAGTGTATAGTTGCTCCAATAACTGTAAAAGCTTGTTTAGCAGTATTGGCAGAGTGTTTCTTAACAAGTCATGCCAGTCATTTTCTGGACCCACTGTTGCTGAAAACAGAAAAGAATGCCTTGGTTCAGCAGCTGGAATGTAATGACTAGTCGTCAGCTCATCCCTCCTCTTATTAATATTCTGTATGATGCAAGTTTGTAAAACAGAGGATTGGATGCTAATCTCCAGGATCTCAAGGGCTTTTGGCAGTCGCCCATAATTGATGTGTTCACGTAGCTGTTTTCTGACTATTCATAATTAGACAGTGGTGTTATCCTACAGCTAAATCAGTGTTGCTTATAAATCATACTCGATAAACTGTAGTCTTATGCCTTCTAGTGTGTATCTTTTTCTTCCTTTTAATACATGAACGAATACAGTATATACATATATGAAGAGAAAAATTATTGCCAGAGGCAGTTCATAATTCCTTCACCTTGGATCACTTCCATTTTTATCCTATTCTGGAAACCAATATGATTTGTTATACATTTTCTTCTAGCAGCTTGTAAAATAAAATAAATTAGCATATCCCTTGACAAATATGTGGCTTAGAAACAGTTTGTTCCACATGCCTTTTGAAACCATAATTCCTTCATTGGCTTGTAATGTTTCTGCCATTTAATTACCTGATCTTTCATGTTTCCAGAAGTGTTTTATATTATACCCTTTTTATTGTTTTTCTTTTTCTAACATCAACGGTTAATTGTGTGTTATAACTCCTCTACTAAATACATCTGCAAACAAATAATGCTTATTACTTTTTTAAATTTATTTTTAGGACTTGACTAAATGTTTTCCAAAGCTATTTGTATAACCACTCCTAGATTGTATTAAGACTATTATAGTTTACCCTTGACATGCTGTAACATTGTACACATGTATTTGTGTGGAAGAGTGTGGAATCACTCAAGAAACTCCTAGACGAGTTCCTTGGAGACCGTAACATAAAGGGATACCAGTACTCTTAAGAGCAAAATCACACATGGACTCATATACATGCACACACCTGCTCAAACATAAATGCATACACGCAATAGGTTGGACTTGATGGACTTATGTCTTTATTCAACCTCAAATACTATGTAACTATGTATTTGATGGGCATCAGAGTATCAGAGTATATTGAATATTAACAACTTATTCTGCATTTAGTTTTTGATAACTCTAAAACATGCATTTTTTAAACTAAAATACCCATATACGTGAACTGGTTTTTGGAACATGCAGCAAGAAAACAATTTTGTCATAAGCCTATGCACCCGCATTGCTTAGTGGTGCCTCAAGAATAATCTTGGCCACAGTTTTATCCACTGACCAGTTGTTCTTCACAATCAGTCAGCCATGGGTTATCTACAGAGGCTGCAGAGTAAGTATAACTACACATTTAGTGTACTGACAAATGCACATTTATTCTATACATTAGTAGTGATCAGTAAATGACCATGTTCTCTCTTCTAGGCTGGATTTAGACCAACTGTGTTGGGGCTGCATTGGACATTTTTCCAGCGTATGCCAATGCAAGAAAGAGCAACTTGCCTTATCATAGGCTCAGCTCACATCAATTTGTTGTGGTGAGTGCTGAAAAAAGTACTCCATGCAGTGCTTTTTTCTCAGTGCAGTAGACTAAATTGGCGCAATGGTACTGTAACTGGTAATGCAGTTGTAGCATTGTAGCAAAGGTGCTGGTGTGAATGCAGCCTTAAACAGTTCTTGACGTTTTTGTAATCTCAAATCCTGATCTAAAAAGTATGTGAAACTTTTAAATATTTATTGTGATTGTCAGCTGTAGCTGTTTTTTTGTGTAAAGCATCTACAATTTTATTTATGAAGGACCTGCAACAGTCCAAGTGGAAGTCATTATGCATTTATTGAGCACTTGGTTTTCCATGATTTTTAGGAAAATTGTGTGGAGTAGTGTAATATTTGTTACGATTTACTATTTTAACGTAAGTTACATTCCTACCCAAGCAGTAAATGGCACCAGCTTGGTACCTGTTTGAATTATTATTCCCTGGATGGAGAAAAGAGTGACAGTATATTTTCATTATGTTCTCATAGGCTAAACGATTAGCTCCACTCTTTCAATCTGAGTACAGGTACCCTGTAAGAATGAGAACTTAAATATAAAAGCTCTTTAACAAATAAGGCTTCTAGTGTTAAGAATTAAATCTGTTCTCCAAATCATAACTTAGGCAATACATTGACAAAGCCTATCACATTCAACCTATTTTAATGCTGTTCTAATATTGTTGATGCAGCATTAAACTCCAGGGAAGCAGTTGTCAATTTATCCTCACAGTGGGGAAACAAATTCCTTCATCAATCTGTCAAAGGCAGTCAGATTAATTCCCTCATTCAATCATTCTACAAAATTCCATCAATTATCACCAGAGATGCTGTTTTTAGTAAGAGAAGTGTCCACATTTAACATCTCTCACACTGTGGGCAATCACCACTAATTTTGTGGCCCACTTTTTATGCTTGTGTATCACATCAAATCCAAGCACCCAAAGCATTAAAGCCTGTCTTATAGATGGGCTTTAATGTACTTAAGGGGGTTGATTTACTAAAGACAAATGGACTGTTCACTTTTCAAGGGAACATACACTTTTCAGGGGAAGTTCTCTCTTATTTTAGTGAATGAGGTGAAGCTCCACTGACTTCCATCACCCAATCATGTGCTAGCACAAATACGTTAATTTTTTTCTTTTCCTTGCACATGATTGGGTATTCTTTGCAAAGTGAAATTTCACCACATTCACCAAGCTATGGGAAACTTCTCCTGCAAAGTGTAAATTCCTTTGCAAAGTGAACAACTATTTGCGCTTTGTATATCGACCCTCAAGTCACAAAAATAAATGTCAAGCAGAGATTGCACTAATCACTTCTTCTATTTCCATAGCCTTACCTCCACTCCAATAGGCACCAGGGTTTAAGTGCACAGTCCAGTGCATTAGATTGCCTAACAGATTTGGTCTGACACTCACTTTCTTTGCAATACAAGCCTTTGTGAGGACAATTGTGATGAAAGATGTGGCTGTTACTCTTGAATGCCAGCATACAGCACTGCCCTGGGAGGGTGGGAAGCACATTTCCAGTAAGAGAATAGGTCTTTTTCAGGAATTTTAATGCTAAATTAGTTAAAAATGATAACATAATTGTACAGGACTATAAATAAGCAAGCGTGTGTGAGAATTGAATTTGGCTTTAAAACCACATTACTCTTGAAGCGGTTATACACAGCCAAATCTTTGTCTGTTGAGATATGATATCAGCAACATTGGAGTCCACTGGTTTTAGTGTTAGGATAGACCCAAATGATCAATAAAGAAGGAGAACTGTAAATAACAACCATTGCATGGCACTAGGAAAAAGGAAGCAAAGCTAGTGTTGGTACTAGCATGACATGGTTCCCCCAATGTTCAGGGCCGGATTTACTCTCCCTGCAAGCCAGGTTCTGTGATGTGCCTCCCTCACTTTTTTTTATTTGTTTATTTAATTATTTCTTCTTATTTTTTTAATTTTTATTTATTTCATTATAGGAGACTCGGGCCTAGGCGGTGGAGGATGGAACCAAAGGAGAGAGGTAAGTGCAGGGGGGAGGGGTAGAAGGCTGCACACTGTTTAAACGAAAAATCGTCTGCCTCACTCTACATTTAGTCCTGCTTGTACAAAGCAGCACTGAATGTAGAGAGGGCAACTTCGCCACAAGGACACCGCTGCCGCCCCCTCTGCGCCCTGCCACCCCGAGGCCAGGCCTCGGTGGCCTAGTGGGGAATCCGGGCCTGCCAATGTTCATATTTGATTATGAGCTATACACAAAATTTAGGTTTTTAAACATGAACACATTCTGATTAGATATATAGAGCTGAGCCTTTTTATGTGAAAAGGCTATACATTCCCAAAAATGAGTTGCTTGTATGGAATAAGGTTGAAAAGAATATTTGTGCAAGGACATTTTCTCCACAAAAAAATTGTGTGTGTGTGTAAGATCTATCCATAAACATGCTGATCACAAAGTTGTGCAATGCTTTAGACTATGGAGAGGGGGTCGAGCAGAAGATTGAACCTTGAAAAGCAGCTATATTGGGGGACAGTTATCAAATCTTTGAATCAAGTTGCCTATGCCATCAATTTATCATTGTCGGTTATTTTTATGTGTAATGTTTATTTTTAGGAAGAGGGTTTAGAAGAATAGTTACATATTTCCTATCCATCAGTAGGCTTTTCTATGCTAACTCATGGCATTTGTTGATTAAGTCACATTTGAGATTCTTTATTCGGAATGATCTTACTTTTGATTTTAAAAGGCATTGTAGTTCTTTTCCCTTTGCCAATGTGATATAGCACTATATGACATTTGCAAAGTATACATGTTAGAAAAAAAAAGGGTTTTGTCCTAGTAGCTTTCATTTTCATATCTAGACTAGATAAGTGACAACTGAGATTGACATTTGATTGGCTGAAATGGGTAACTTTTTTTTCATTAAACATGAAACTCCTCTCCCCAAGAGTAAGCATGCCTTGACATTTTCTCATCTGCTCACCAAGCTTAGTTATTTATAATGTCTTAATTTTACATTAAAATGGTATGTTATACTGAAAAAAATATATTTTATTTTGACAGGTTGATCCCCTGTTTACAGTGCCTGCCCCTCCTCCGCCAGTTTCCAGCAGCATCACACCTCCGATTCTGCCATCTTACTTTTCTCCATCTTCAACCATTGCTGCACCAGTGGAGCAGCTATTAGTACGGACTCGATCTGTTGGTGTAAACACATGTGATGTAGGAGTAGTAACAGAACCGGACTGCCTTGGGCCTTGTGAACCGGGAACCAGTGTCAACTTGGAAGGGATCGTCTGGCATGAAACTGAAGAAGGTATGTGTTTAATTGTTTCACATTATTGCAAAAAAGAATTCATTGTTTTAAATGTGTTTATACATGTTTACATTTCAATTTCTCTGATGATTTATTTTGCACAGGCATTCATTTCTATAGTTACTATTATAAAATTTCTCCTATAAGTGACATAATTAGTTCATGCAGAAATATTCTGTGTAGATTAAGGAATAAGAGTAAATATTTTGAATATTAAATTTGGTCTCTAGTTTATAATACTGTTACCTGTACAGCTGTTTAGTCAGCAGTGCAAGATGTTGGTTTAGATATATAATACTATGGCAGTGAATGGAGTGTTGACAAATGGCCAATGGCCTAGCTTACATTATTTCGCAAGACATATTTTCTGTACTGACCATCAATTTACAATACATTTCCAATTTATTTTGTTTAATGTGATATTGTAAGGTTGGATCACCTATTTATTGTTAGATATTGTCAGTGCCATTTCTTAAGATGTTCTGGTTTTAATTAAGAGGAGTTGTGTGCCCTTTTAATGGTGGCTGTGTTTTTGTAATTCTTTAATATAGGATAATTTCCTGCACTACAATCATAGAATATTATGACACACTTGATATTGGCTTCTAAAGAATGTATTTTTATTTCAAACCTTTTGGTAATATATCCTCTGTGTTGCCAAAAGAAGATAGGCTGGATTGCGCTGATATCAAGATGTACCTTTTGATCTTTTGCTTATAATGTCTGATTTACATATTGGCTTAATGTATGAAAAGTGTTAATAAGGCAAGGGACCTAACCAGTATGAAAATGACAAACATTTGTATATAGT